TCAAGAGGCTGAGGCAGGAGAATCGCCTAAGGCCAGGAGTTGGAGGTTGCTGTGAGCTGTGATGTCACAGCACTTTACTGAGGCACTCTACAACGAAAAAAAAAAACTGACAAATTCCTGTCACCTAGTGACGTTGTGGCCATCTTAATGTTGTCCTGAAAGGATTCCTCTCATGCTGTGGTGCTGTGGCGTTAACAAACCTGTGCTGCCCGTCATATAACAGCACAGTGCACACAACTATGTACAGTACATAAGACTTGAAAATTATAATAAATAACCGATCCTGGTTTATGTAGGTAGTACGTTAATTATTTTGGAATATATACCTTATACTTCTAAAAAAAAACAATGTTAGTTGTAAAATAGCCTTGGGCACTTCCTTCAGGAGGTATGTCAGAAGAAAGCACTGTTGGCAGAGGAGATGACAGTTCTGTGCATGTTACTGCCCCGAAGACCTTTCAGTGGGACAAGATGTGGAGTTGGAAGACAGTGATGTTGATGACGCTGACCCTGTGTATGCCTAGGCTAATGTGCATATTTGTGTCTGATTTTAACAAGATATAAAAAATGAAAAACATAAAATGTAAAAATAGAAGATGTTTTTAAAATTTGGATATAAAGAAGCTGTACAGTGTGTGTTTTTGTTTTAAGCTAAGTGTTATTATGGAACAGTCCAAAAATTTAAAAATTTAAAGTTTATAAAGTAAAAACGTCACAGTAAGCTAAGGTTAATTTATTATGGAAGAGAAACTTTTGTTTTATAAACTTAGTGTGGCCTAAGTGTATAGTGTTTATAGAGTCTACAGTAGTGGACAGTACCATCCTGTGTCTTCACGTTCACTCACCACTCACTGACTCACCCAGTGCAACTTCTGGTACTGCAGGCTCCGTACGAGTGTACTATTTTTTATCTTTTATACAGTATTTTTGATTTTACCTTTTCTATGTTTAGGTACACAAATAGTTGCAGTTGTCTATGGCGTTCAGTACAGAAACATGCTGTAGAGGTTTGTAGCCTAGGAGCAATAGGTTATTCATACAGCCTTGATGTGTACTAGACTTCTACCATCTAGTTTTCTAGAAGTAACAGTTGTCGATCATACAGTGATGAAGTTACCTAATGATGCATTTCTCAGAATGTATCCCTGTCTCACTCTCTTGCCCAGGCTGGCGTACAGTGGTACAGTCCTACCTCATTATAGCCTCAAACTACCAGGTTCCCATTAGCTCGGACTGTAAGGTGCATACCACCATGACCTGCTAATTTTTTAAATTTGTGTATAGAGATGAAGTCTTGCTATGTCTTTTCTTTTTTATGTTTGTAAGAGTCGGATAAGATAGTCAGTTTAAATAAGTTCAGAACTTTTTCGGTAACCACAAAATTAAAATTGTAGGGAATAGGAGTAAGTTGATTTAATTTTCACTGTTTTTTCTTTCTTGGAGGTTCGTCTTTCAATCGATGCCATCTTATAGTTGATGAAGTACGTCGTATGGTTAGTATAGAAACTTTAGAAAATATAGATGAAAAGGTAAATGCAAGAAATCTGAGAGATAGTTATTAATAGTTTGGTGTCAATCCCTTGGTGATTTTCTATATAACACAGATCCACAAATAGGCATGTATACTGCATATATTTTTGCCAGGTCTAATTTTTCTAGCTTACATTTTAAATGACTGGTTAGTATTTCATTGTATAGACACACTGTAATTTGTTGAGTTACTCTTTGACCAGTGGCTAAAATCCTGAAGCTTAGTGCTTATCTCCCTTCAGCACTCCCCTCAGTAGGGCCCAACAGTGTGTCCTCAGTGTTTTGGCCACTCTTGAAGGCCAAACAGTGAGATCCTTTTTTTCTCAGGGGCATGGGAAGCTCTTACAGTTATTTGGCTTTAAGGAATGGGAAAAGACAAATGTTAGAAGCATTAGAAGTGAGAATTGGTGGGAATTAGTGATTGGATATGTTTGTGTCACGTCTTGTGGCCTCTCACCACCTCTTTGTCCTGTACAGTGCTAAACATGGACAGTGTGCTCTTGAGATCAGCACAGACACCTGCCAGGCCCTGGGTGTCTGATTCAGCTCCCTCCACCCTCCTCTCCCGGGTTCTCTTGGCTTAGCCCTCAGGTCTCCTTTGTGCTGCTGGAGGGCTGCATTTCTCTCTGTTGCTCTGCCTGTCTGGAATGCCTTTTGGACAGCTATTGTACTTTCTCTCATTCTCCAGGGTTCAGTATGGCCATCCCTTCTGCAGAGACGCCTTCCCTCTTTTATCTTCCTCCTCTTTACAAGTTGTATGCTCATTCCTCATAATCTTTGTTTTTTTTGGGGGGGGGAGGCAGGGCTGGGCTTGAACCCACCACCTCCAGCATATGGGGTCAGCACCCTACTCCTTTAAGCCACAAGTACTGCCCATAATCTTTCAATGATCTGTGTCTTTCTCCTCCTTGTTGACCATGGTATCCCCATTGTCAAGCAGTTAGCAGATACTCAGATATTGTTTGACCAAATGAGTTGTACTGAATAGTTTTGAATCATCTGAACTTGAAAAGAATGGAAACTGCTTTTTTTCCCTCCTGGAGAGCAGTATTAAGTCCCACAAGTTATAGCTCCCAGAAAGAGGCAAATTGACCAGCTTTCCTCAGAGTTGCTTAGCAGTTGTTGATGCAAGAAAATGAGGCAAAAATCTCAATCCTGGAGATTTTGACTATGTTCCTGGGAAAAACACAAACTGCAGACAAGCTGTGGCTGTTTGCTTCTCTGAAGGGGAAGTTCAGCCTTCACCATTTTAAGGGAATGCAAAGAAAAGGGAAAGGGGGTGGGGCTGGTAAGTCAAAGTGGTTATGTTCTTTTGAGGCACAAGAAATTTATATTTTTTGTAAAAATAAGGGAATTAAAGAAGGAACAATTGGCTTAGTGCCTATAGCTTAAACGGATAAGGCGCCAGCCACATATACTAGAACTGGTGGTTCAAATCCAGCCTGGGCCCTTCAAAATACAATGACAACTACAACCAAAAAATAGCCAGGTGTTGTGGTGGGTGCCTGTAATCCCAGCTACTTGGGAGGCTGAGGCAAGAGAATCTCTTAAGCCCAAGAGTTGGAGGTTGCTGTGAGCTGTGATGTAACAGCACTTTACACAGGGCAACAGCTTGAGACTCTGTCTCAAAAAAAAAAAAAAATAAAGAGGGAACAATTATGTAAATATCCCTGGGTAGAGAGAAGGATATCTGATTTTGTCTTGTCTCCAATTCTGTTACCTGTAAGATAAAGTTGTAATTCATTATTGTGGAATTAGAGAGGCATTCGTTTTAGCTATAGTCTGTTCTTGCTCATGGTAGGTTAGTAAGGAATTTTGTTAGTGAATTATCTGTTGAGCCAGTTCTTCACAGGTGCCTGAGGCTTTCACTTTCTCTTTTTTGTAAGGAGTTGGGTAAGGGTGGCCCTGAGACTTTGATTTTCTTTTTACATAGTGGAATGACTATAGTAGTCAGGAAAATTAGGCAGTGACTTGGTCTTGTTGAAAGGATTCTTGCAGTGAATGTTGGGATTAGCTACATCATTTCTAAGGCTCCTTTCAACCCTTAAAACTGGATGAGCATTTTCATCTGTGCAGTTACTAGTCTGCCATTCTTGTTTCAACTGCAGACCTGGATTTTACCACTAGATGGCACTAGATGATTGCTTTGAAATCAGTGCGAACCATTTTTCATTATACTCACACCCTCAACACACATTTGAAACAAAGATTTCACCAATGTCTTACTCCTTACTATGTGCAATACGTGCTATTTCCTGTTTTATTCTATTTTGCTGTATTTTAAAATGTACCTTTCCAAACTAATTGGTTTTATATTAATGGGTCATAACTCATGGTTTGAAAAATACAAGTTTAGATAACTGAACAAGTTTATTTTGGGTATGCTTCTTTGGACAAACAACTTGTGTCAGAAATCTTGTCTATTAGTGAATATTTTACACATGTCAGTGTTGGGTTGCGCATAGACTAGCTGAACACATGTGCTTCTTTACGGGTGTCTGTGGATGAGAGAGACGTGGGAGACATGTCTGTACATTATTCAGCACCTATTATAGTCAAGACAGAAGTCAGCCTGTCTAATTCTGGGAGCTTAGAATCTAGGTTGAAGACATGACACACACACACAGCCCTTAAATTTCAGCTTACCTATCAAGCAGCATGATAGTGGGATTATTCAGGGTATCAATCAGGATGCTTTAGGCTACAGGTAACAAAAACTCAACTTAAATTGGCTTAACAGGTGAACACACTTCTTATCCACAAAACCTATATGTAGAGGTAGAGGAAGTCTGCAGGCCCACTGTAGCTGAGAATAGCTTTAGGGATCCAGGGTTTTTTTTATGACTTCTCAGTTGTACTAAAGCTGCTTCTACTTATGGTTACTAGAAGGTTTCCATTGGTAATCAGGGCTTCAGCTTCCAGGCTTGAAACACTTAATTTTTAACTCCTTTGTGCAGACTGGGGTAGAGAGAATAGATTACCATAGCATTTTCCAAGCAATACTTGTTTTGTTCATTTGTGGTTTCTTCACTGTGACCTCCCTAAGGGTGAAATGACTGGCACCTAATTCAGAGTCAGTAGAAATACTTAAGGTTTAGTGATGTTTGCCAGATATTTCTGAGTCTCCATTCCCCTGGGCTCAGAACATTTTGGTTAATAGTTATCTGACTGCTTCTGGCCAGTGAGTTTGCCGAGTGACTACATGGCTGCAAGTCTTCTATATGAAGTATTGGGTGATGTTGTTTGGTGCTTAGGGCCCTGGGAAAAGGGTGTTAGCAAAATGAGGAAAGAGCGATGAGAAATGACCACGGTGGGAAATGTGATATCGATGAATGGGTACACGAGTCTTTATATTTGTAATGTTGGCCTTTTGAGGTGGGTGATTTTCCTCTGGTTCTTGCCCTGGTTCCTGGAACCTTGGCCTGAACCTGCACATCTCTCCTCACCTGTCCCCTTTTCCATCCCTGCAGGTTTGCAGTAAGCATCGGCTACTGGCATGACCCTTATATCCAGCACTTTGTGAGACTGACTAAAGAGAGGAAGGCCCCTGAAATTAACAGAGGCAAGTGACCACCTCCCTCCCCAGCATCTCCCCAGCCAGAACGCCTCAGGTTGTAGAGATTGATTCTCAGGGGAGTTCAGAATGCACCTTCCCAACAGTAGGGAAAGTGCTTATATCTAGCATCTTCACCAGCGTGGTCTATCATGAAGCTTTGTATGCTTTGTTAATCTGATAAATGAAAAATGCCATCTTAATTTTAAAATTATAAATAAAACTTCCCCCAGCCACATTCCTGCTCTTATACTGATTAAAATAAATGTTGTAAAACTGTTTCATAAAACTGATAGGAGGACAATGATTTACTCTGTTTTGGTAGAGGGCTTTGTTTACCTACAGCTCATCTAGAAATAGTCCTATTCTGTGGATTTAATTGGGCTCTTCTGTGAGGAGACTTTCTGAAGGAATTTGTGTATTTCAGGTTGAGCATATCTTGAGTTTTCACCCCTCTTGTCTCATTCTGATCTTCCCTAGGGATGGAGATTGTGAGGATCCTGCCTTGCTGTGTAGCCTGAGGGTTGTAAGTCTAAAGGATGTGGGTTTTCCACAGCTGTTGACATCCTTCACTGTAGGTCACAGGGAAAGTATTGTCAGACCTGGTAATTCTCAGATGAAGGAGGTCTCTGAGGTGCTGACAGTAGTAGGCCTAGGTTCAGAAGATCTGGCTCTCAAGATTCTGAAAGGTTTATTTTCCTTTCCTGTCTCACAGTATGAATGGTGTTGGCCATTTAAGTAGCCCTTTTGAAGCTTGTACCAACAGGCAGCTTGTTCAGGAGCATGTCTGAAATACAGATTCAGAGTGGTTTCTGATGTCTGCTCCTTATAAACTCCCAAGACCTAAGTTGTTTCGGGGTGTGTATGTGCTGTCTGGACCACTGAATGGAAGCAGCCTCAAGTGGTTTAATTCCTGGTTCTTCTTTTGCAGGGAAGTTTAGAGTTTACAGGAAAGAGAAATTCAGCTCTTTTCTGCCTTAGCAGTGTAGAACCTGAGAGGGAGGAGATGGAGAATTGTTTTTTTTTGGTTCTCTGATAGTGTTAGTAACACGATTAGGATCTGCAAGTCATTTCCATCAAGGAAGTCAAAGGATTCGAGACTAGAGCATGACTTCTCAGTCAGATGGAGAACTTGACCAAGTGACTGTAATTCTTGTTTCTGCTGGGAATGTTGGCCCTAAAGATGGCTCCTGTACTTGGGTTCTTTAGGGAACTCAAAGAAATTTTACAGTGATGGTTCCTAAGAACATAGACATGTAGTTTGCTTTGCACTCCCTGGTCCAGGGCTCCTAACAAATGCTGCTGAGGCCAGGATGGACACCCACCCTCAGCCCCTGCTGGCAGCTTGTCAGCTTGCGGGCCTTTCTCTCTCTGGATTTGAACTTCTAGTTTGTGGTCCAGTCCAATAGGATAGTACCTCCCCCTCTCCTATAGTGTGTGGTGAGGATGTTTCCCCCGCAGTATCTAATCCATCACAGATATCTCTGTAAAATACAGTACAAGTGATTTACGAGAAAAAAATGAAAAAGATACAAAATACAGTTCTGAATTGTTCATTAGTAGCTTGGATGGACATAATCTCTGCCAAATTGCAGCCAAAGTTTCTACATGCTGCTCTCATTTTTTTCTTAAACTAGTCATATCCTGGTAACAGTCACACACACACTTTGAGCAGGAGAGCTTTGGAATTTAGACGGACTTTGTTTTCCTTTCTTCTTCATTTTCCATCTCCTTTTCCCCAGCCCTTCACCCCAGTGCTTAACAAGTCATTTTGTTAGGTACCATTTGCTTACCCTACACCCAACTCCAGCCCCCACCCATGCCATTTTATATAGAGACACCAACCCATTTAGGGTAGAGATGATAGCACCAGTATAAGCAATGTGGCTTTCTTTGCCTTAACATTCATCTTCCCAATTTCCTGGCCCAAAATGTTATAATATTTTCTATATAATCTCACAATTTTGAGTTTTACCAGAGTCCCGAGTGGCTTTCACTGTAGCTATGAAAAGCACAAGAGAGATGTCGGCTCAGATATTTTGATATGAAATATTTGCCTGTTGTACATAAAACTATTGGACATTTTTTTTTAAGGTAGTTAATTCCTGCATTAAGTACATTATATGCACTTTGGTTCAGGTATCTTACTAAAAAGAGAAACAATTTAAAAGTTATTTCTCCCGTAAAGTCTACAGGTAAACCTCTGACCCTGGAGAAAGGCAGGTGTTGTCTGTTTTACTCTTCTGGTGGTTTGGGTTTTATACAGATGACTTCTTTCATCACTGGATGATGGCTTGTTTCTCTGTCCCTATCTCAGGATATTTTGCTCGAGTCCATGGTGTCAACCAGCTTATAAAGGCATTTCTACGGAAAACAGAATGTCATTGTCAAATTCTCAACCTTGGGGCTGGGATGGATACCATTTTCTGGAAACTAAAGGTAAATTAAAATTCTCCTCTTCCCTCCCTGATTGTTTAATTTTTCTTTTTTCTTTTTTTGAGACAGAGTCTCACTATGTCACCCTAGGTAGAGTGCCATGGTGCCACAGTTCACAGCAACCTCAAACTCTTGGGCTTAAGCAGTTCTTTTGCCTCAGCCTCCCAAGTAGCTGGGACTACAGGTACCCGCCATAATACCTGGCTATTTTTATATTGCAGTTGTCATTGTTGCTTACCTGTCCCGAGCTGGGTTCCCAGCCTCGGTGTATGTAGCCAATGCCGTAACCACTGTGCTATGCACACTGAGTCCTAGATTTAATTTTTTGAAGATGTTCACTTGATTCAAAATTTTAAAGATAACACATTAAAAGTTATGTGGTGACAGGTGGTCTCAGCCCTGCCCTCCTTGCCCTGACACCCCTGTGACCACCATGTTTCTTTCTACCAGGGCCCTAGGGACAAATATTTTAGGTTTCTAATTGTTGTAATAGAAAGTGACAACGTTATTACGAGTTGTAATAGAAAGTTACAGTCACAGAGTTATAATAGAAAGTTTTGTATATTGTCCCTCCATATGTGTGGAAATATATAAGGATGAAAAATCCACGAGTAGATTTGCTGGGACAGTGAGTGTAATTTTGATGAGAATGAAGATTTTGTTAGCACGGTGGCATCTTGGGTAAAACTTGGAGATTGGCAAGGCTGGGTGATGATATGATGCAAGGTTCTTTCATAGTTGTTCTTTGATTTGATCTTTTAACTGCCCTGTTAGGGTGTGTGTGCTGGTGTAATTACACCACTCAGAGGGAAGGAAATGTGGGTCTGAGTAGTGGCAGAACCAGGACTACAGTGCTGATCTCTGACTCCTGGGCTTGGTTTTTACTGTATACCTTTTCTTTACAAAGTGCTCACTGATTACCTTTTCTTATTGGTAGGCTTGTACAGATTTTACTTGGTACTTCTGTCAGGTCCCTGTGTGGTGGTAAAGGGTATGTGCATTTCCCCAGATTTCTTGGTGGGGTAGACCAAGACCTGCTTGTCTATTTTATTCCTAATCATCTGACGTGGTAAGAAGATCTTTGGTCAGAGTGCTTCCAACCTTTTTCTTTCTGAAGAGAGAAGTTAGTGGCTTCAGTGTGGTCTTGATATGTTTTCCTCTGCATTCTTCTTTCAAGATTCAACCAGTAGCATTTATGAAGTGCTTGTACATACATGACCTCATGAATTAACAAGAGAGCCCTGTGAGGTTGGGGGAAATGGGCCTGCAGGGGTTGTTTCTTCCAGGATCTCACAGCTGATGGCATTGGCACAGGCACCAAGTGGTGGAATCACCTCATGAAACTCCAGATTCCTTCCTCTTTCCTCTCCACACAGATCCTGTGGTTGTTCAAGCAAGTCTTTTTGATGACCTCTGCTCTTCTGTAGATCTCTTAGGTCTTCCTAATGTTGTGTTCCATGGCGTGGTGTAAGGAACTACAGGGGGACATAGTGCAAGAGAATGTGCCATGTCAGTGTTAACAGAGGCCACGAGAGAAGTCCCTCCATTGGGCCTGGGGTCCTTTTAATTAGCTTGGTCCTGTGATTTCTTTTTCCTCTCTCTAATAGGTGGGATAATAATAAATTTGAGGTTCATATTGCTGAGCACAATACACTGAGGCTTATGTATCCCTTCTAAGGAAAAGATCATAAGTAGTGAGGAAGTGCATAGTGTCCGAAAGTCTTTTGTGCAAATTTATTTTATATTGATATTTATTGGTTAGAAGATTTTTTTGTTTTTTGTTGTTCTGGAGACTAAGTCTCACTCTGTCACCCTCAGTGACAGTACTGTGGCATCATTGTAGCTCATAGCAACCTCAAAACTCTTGGGTTCAAGAGATAATCTTGTGTCTGTGTGCTCCTAGCTCAGTGGTTAGGGTGCCCGTAGTTCAGTGGTTAGGGCACCAGCCACATATTCCAGAGCTGGTGGGTTTGAACCTGACCCGGGGCTGCTAAACCAAAAAAAGAGAAAGATCCTCTTGCCTCAGCCTCCCAAGTAGCTGGGCCCATGGGCATGCACTACCATGCTCAGCTTGTTGTTTTTCTATTTTTAATAGATAAGTGGTCTCATTCCTGCTCTAGCTGTTCATGAACTTCTGAGCTTAAACAATCTACCTGCCTTGGCCTCCCAGAGCGCTGAGTTGATAGGTATGAGCCACTGTGCCTGACCCAGAAGGGTTTTTTAAATTGGTCTAATGTTCCCTTTAGAACATATATATATAATGATTGTTTGCTCATTGAGCAGGAGTTGCAGTGTATAGCCCCGAGCTAAATCGGGCCCACCTTCTGTTTTGTAAATGAAGTGTTATTGGAATAGAGCTGGTTCCATTTGTTTGCATGTTGCACTTTTAGCTGTCCTGTGACAGCTGTGACAGCAGAGTTAGGTAGTTACTATAGAGACTGTCTGGCCTGCAATGGCTAAAATATTTACATTCTAGCTCTTTGCAGAAAAAATTTGCTATTCTCTGTTTTAGTGGTAGGTGTTTCTGTAAAACTGTGGGGGAAAATCTTTTCCATTAGTCTTACTATCTCATGTACCTTCCAGCTGTGATGGTTCCCTGGTTGCACCAGCAGAGGTTTAGCTGTGAGTCATGGGTTTCCTGCAGCCACCACTGTGGCTCGTTCTGTGTAATCTCAGGAGCACAAGACTGTCTTGTGTGTAGGGTTGAAGGCAGTAGGCAGGAATAGGGCAGAGGAAAAGCCAGTATTGTCACAGAAAGAGAATAAAGAGCAAGGGAAACCCTTTTAGGAGCCTCTTGGTGTTCCTGGAATTCTGTTTCCAAACCAAGGGTGAACTGTGTAGAAGAGGCAGGGTTAATCTTGGCTGTCTCTGAAGGGTCGGCCTGCTAGGTCCCTTTTGAGTCTTAGTGACATCCTGCTGCCGGCTGCCCTCTGACAGTTATCCTCAGACTCTGGCATCTTCCACACAAACTTGTGAGATGGGGGCTATTTGGAGTGGAATGTCAAAGGGCTTTAGAGAATCACAGCATGAAAAGCTGAAGCCTCATTGTCACAGCCATTTTGCCCCTTTCTGAAAGGCAAGAAAGAGAACATCTTTTTCTTACAAGCTCCAGGTTGCTTTTTGGAAGCGTTCTTTCCATGGTGACCTCTTGTTAGGAATTCTTTTTGAGAATCAAAGGAGCTCATACCTGGGGAAGCTCTTTAAACAGTGAGAAGTCCCTTAAAAGCTGCAGGTCACTGTCCTGTCCTTCGTGCTTTGGATTTAATTGTTTCATTGTCTTTTGGAATTTTAGACAACCCTTAACTTTTCATACCCTGTCAGTAAAAGTTCTTAAACAATGTTGTATACTTTCTTAGAAAATTATTTCCATCTTACTGTACATATATTTTAACATTTTGAAATAGTTTTACATAGATCTACTCTACAGGCAGATATGTACGTGCTGCAACTCTAAGTGTGCACAGCTGAGATTCATGAGCCCAGATCTCCTTGGATATAACATGGGACAGTCTTTTCCAGCTTGAAAAAAATAAACCTAGTCTGGATCCCCTAGGATTTCAGCAGAGGACCACTCTCTAGGTGGGTGGTGGTAGCTAAAGGGTCACTTTCCTGCTAGGATGTAATGGTTTGTGGCTTGTGCCCTTACTGTGTTGTTGGCATGGGATCTGCTAGCCCTCCCCCAAGTCTTCACTGACCCGCCACAGCTATTCTCCCTGTCTTGTTTCTGTCTCTATGAATGGTTCTCATACTGCCCAGGTGCTCAAGTTAGATATAGTGGGTCATGTATCCTCCTTAACTCTCCTTTCCCTTCCTCCTGTCCTACACCTGTGAAGTCATCGCCAGGTTCTGGCTACCAGCCTTCTTCTCTTATTTTTAACTAAGTATGGTAGTTGGGCATTTCTAGGACTTGAATGTTAACAGAGCACTGAAGGAAAGCCTGGCATGTGGGCCAGGTCATGGAGCACCTTGTCTCTTGCTGAGCCTTAGCAGGGTGAAGAGCTGCTGAAGGCCTCGTGCAGTCTGTAGTATGTGTGTAGTGGTGTGGGGCTGGGAGACCAGAAGAGGCCTTGGGAGTCTGCGCAGGAGGTGATGGAGCCCAGGGGGAGTGAATGGGTTCCAGAGCAATCTGTGGGACTGAGTGGTTGGTTGATTGGATGGTGGGGAGGCAATGGAGAGAGAATTAGAATGAACAGTGGATAAGTCTCAGAGGTGGGAGGATTTAGCCACCAACAAGGCAGGAGGAAGTAGGGCTCAGTGTGTGGCCAGCTTTCACACTTGTTTGCCTGCAGCCGAAAGGAAGAAATGAATGTTTCAGGACTCAGATCTATGTACTGTGTCTGTGAACAGTAAAGGCACACACAGTACTTACTAAGGTCAGGCCCTCTTGTGAGTGCCCCTGGTGTATATTACTCTCATCTGTTCTCATAACCCCACTTTTCACATGAGGAATCTATGGCAGAGGCACTCAGTAAGTTGAGTGACTTGTTTAAGACCTCACAGCAAATAAACGGTGGAGCTGGGATTTGAACCCTGCCACTCAGCTCCAGAGTGTTTTTTACCACTCCACCATACTCCACACAGGAAATAGAGCTATCACAAAATAATACTTATCCTAAATACATGTGATGCTTTCTGATGTTAGCGGTTTTATTCTGTCTCATCTTAATGCTGATCAAAACCCAGCATATGTACACCTGTAAGCTGAGCTGGGAGGATCGCTTGAACTTAGGAACTTAAGGTTACAGTGAGCTGATTGTTCCATTGCACTTTAGCCCAGGTGGCAGAATGAGACCCTGTCTCAAGAAAAACTACCCCTCTCTGATAGATCACAGCCTGTCTATTGAAAGCTACTGTGTGTGTCCTGCTTCCTGCACCCCAGCCCCTTCTCTCTACCCCTCTTTCTATTGTCACTCACTAGTTCAGGATCTTGCCTGGATGACTACTGTGGTCTCCTTTTTCCATCATCCATTCTTGGTTTCTTCAAATCTATTCCTCATGCCATGGAAATAATTTGAAGAATATGTTTCTGACCATTTCAGTCCCCTGATTTAAAATCCTCAGATGCCTCATTGCACTTAGGTACCTAGTGCTTGCCACATACAAGATGATTGGTAAATGTGTGAGTGAAGAAATAATTATAAAGCCTGTTGTGTGCCTTTCCCCAGGATGAAGATCTACTTCCAAGTAAATATTTTGAAGTGGACTTTCCAATGATAGTTTCCAGAAAGCTGCACAACATCAAGTAAGTGTGGCTATGGCTGGAAGAAAAAGAGCCAGGTAGAATCAGACCCAGCTCTGAGTTGATGGCAGGTTTGAATGCCAGAGGCCTTATTTCAGAGTACTGCTTTCCTCTGATCCCCTCCCCACTTTCTTTCCTGCCCTGGGACCCTCATCCCATTGTGTTATACAGTCTTCAAAATGCAATGCCCTTTTGTGAATTTTCAATGTATCCATCAATGTGATTTCTCTGAACATTTATAAAAAGTCCTGTCATAGTTTAACAATTTGAATTTTTTAGTATTTTTTTGTTTACTTCTTTATCTCCAGGGCATACCACATTATCTAACCCACAATAGATATGTAATGGATGGTTTTTTTGTGTGTGAATGAATGACTAGAAGACTGAAGTTATAAATTTTATAAATTATATACGAGCTATTCAGGGGGCCATTCGAAGAGTGTGCAAAGTTGTAGATGGTACATTTGCAGTCTTTGCTGAATCTGAGAGTTTTTCTTTGCCTAAGACCATTTTAAGGGCTTCACTGGGATTCTCTCATTCATTCCTCGCAGCACACCCATGAATTAAGGGTTGTCATGATCCTTTTTTGTAGTTGAGGATATTGCAGCGCAAAAAGTTAATTTTTCTGAGATCACCTAGCTAAGAAAGGGTGCAGCTGAGATTTAAATCTTTTTTTTTTTTTTTTGAGACAGAGCCTCAAGCTGTCCCCCTGGGTAGAGTGCTGTGGCATTACAGCTCACAGCAACCTCCAACTCCTGGGCTCAAGCGAGTCTCCTGCCTCCACCTCCCAAGTAGCTGGGACCACAGGCGCCCGCCACAACGCCCGGCTATTTTTTGGTTGCAGCCGTCATTGTTGTTTTGGCGGGTCTGGGCTGGGGATTCGAACCCGTCACCTTAGGTGTACGTGGCTGGTGCCTTAGCCGGTTGAGCTATAGGCGCCGAGCCAAGATTTAAATCTTGACTTCAGGCCCAAGATGATCTTACTTGTTTTAACTATACTCTTGACCCCCACCCTCATTTAGTCATTTAAGTAAAATCCAAATTTCTATATTTAAGAACATTTCAATAGTTTCAACTTGTCCTTTAGACATGTCTAATCTTTATAAATAGGAAGTATTTTTTAAACTGTATTTTTTCTAGTTTGTCTTATGAAAATAAAATAAGTTTTTCCCCATTTCCTAATATAAACTGGTATTTTGAAATTAAGCAATCTCTTCAAATAAGAAATGGCAATTCTGATGCTTTGGAAATGGCAAAGTACTACTCTGCTGTTTTAAGTGGACTCTAACTTAAGGGCAGACATGGTTTCCCGGGATGAAAAGAGGATTTGTGTTTGTGTTGGTTTTTGTGATACTGAATTTGACTCTGATTTCTGATTTTTTGCATATTCTGGATTAAGGGAATTATACGTGTTTCTGAACTTTAAATTTACATAAGAGTCAACTCTTTTGATTGCCTGTCACAAATAATAGCTATCTAAAAAGGTTTGATTGACAGCAGGCAAGACTAGGGATGGCTAAACATTACTGAAACATTCTTGTGAACCTGTCTTTAGCTTTTTTTAAATCTTCATGATCAGATTGTGATTTGGACATCAGATGCCGAGTATAATGCTGAGCTGACATAACCTGAGACCCGTATCCACTGACGTTTTCCTGTATGTGCCTCGGGTCAAATTTAATTAAACCGAGCCCTTTTTAGCATGGCACTTGCTTTGAACAGTAGCCATATGTATATTGGCCATTTCTATAGTGAATATCTGCATTTTTGTAGTAAATGAGCTTGTGAGTAAATTGACTTTCACCTCTTTCTTGTCTTCCCACAGATACAAGCCTCCCCTTCTCAACCCCATTGTAGAATTACATTCAGAGGATACAATTCAGATAGGCAAGTATCCTTAACCTAAGTCATATAATGTGGACTATGTAAGTGGTTTTGCTGTCTTTCTTAGGGGCAGGTGTATGTGTCCTGGTATACAACTTATACATCTTTAAAATTGTTTTAAATTATTATGAGTAGATAACAGTTATACATATTTATAGGATATGTGTAGTGTTTTGATACACCCATAAAGGAATGCAATCAAATCAGGGTAGTTGGGGTATCCATTACCTCAAACAATTATTTCTTTGTTTTGGGATCTTTCCAGTTCCTCTCTTTTTTTTATTTCAGAATATTACAGGGGTATGTATGCTTTGGTTACCTGAATTGCTTTTGTGCAGTTTGAGTCAAAGTTATAAGTGTGCCTGTCGCCCAGAAGAGGATACATTGTACCTCCTGTGAATCTACCTCTCCCCTTCTGCCCTCTCCTACCTGTTTGATTTCTGTTGAGATTTACTGCCAAGTACATGAGTGTTGACTGATTAGTTCCAGGTTAATAGTGAGTACATGTGGTGTTTGTTTTTCCATTCTCGCAGTACTTCACTTAGGAGAATGGGCTTCAGTACCATCCAGGTTGTTACAAAAGTTACCAGCTCACCGTTTTTTATGGCTAAGTGGTACTCCATGGAATGCATATACCCCACGTTATTAATCCATGCAGTATTGGTGGGTCCTTGGATTGCTTCCACATCTTATGGTGCCTGGCACATAAAAGTTTTAATAAACTTTTGTTGAATGAATGTGTATACATGATTAATAAATAAGTTGTACCTCAGTATATATTTGTTGAATGTCTGTACTACTATGTGTAAATAAAGATGATGTATTTTATTAAACATTGAATAATTTGTATGTGCTGTTTTGTAACTTGCTTCTTTCATTTCCTAGTATCATGGCCATCTTTTCATGTCAGCATCCGTAGATCGGTCTCATTTTTTATGGCTTTGTAGTACCCCCGCCCCCATAGAAAGTCCATTTTATTTAATCTGTTCTGTACTGGTGATCATTTAGATTGCTGCTTATTTGAGCTTTTACATTAAACAATGTTGTAGCAAATACATACATTTGTGTAGATTTGCAAGACTTTCTTGTTCACTGAATTGCACTTTAGAATTCTAACAGTCAGTGCCAAACTGCGTTTCCCTCCCATTTTACTAATTTATGTTTTCACTAGTGTGAGGGTTCACTTTCCCTGCACCCTTTTGTTCATTTTGTGTTGCTGTAACAGAATGCCTGGAACTGGGTAATCTATAAAGAACAGAGATTTATTTCTTACAGTTTCAGAGGCTGGCAAGTCCCAGGTGGAGAGGCCTGCGTCTAGTGAGGGCCTTCATGCTGTGTCATCCCATGATGATCCCATGGCAGAAAGCAGAAGGGCAGGAGAGCTTGAGTGTGTGAGACGGACCAGGGAAGGGCCTCAAACTTACCCTCTTATCACAGGCGTCCTCAAATTACGGCCCGCCTAGGACATTTATCCGGGCCGCCAGGTGTATTTTCCACTGGCTGCCTGTCCTGCCTAGCACCCAACTCATCCTGGGGCCTGCAGTCCAGCCCGCCAACGATCTGAGGGACAGTGAACTGGCCCCCTGTTTAAAAAGTTTGAGGACCCCTGTCTTATCAGGAACCCACTTCTAAGATCACTAATCCCATTCTGATAACACTGAGTATTACTTTAAAAATTTCTATGAATTTGATAGGCCAAAATGATGCCCTGTTATTTAAAGCATTTATATAACTTTAAATGCTAATTAAAACAGCATGTGTTTTATTGGCTTTTGGGACTATTTTGTAAATTTTCTTTGTGTTTGCCTATTTGTTTTTTAGTTGCATTCTGTAGTTTCTTTTCAATTTGTAGGAACCTTTAACAAATAGATGTGTTCTGTGGTAAAGGTCTGTTGTCAGCCATTTTCTTGCAGATTTTTTTCTTAGTCTCTTTTATTTTTGTGTCTCGTGTAGGCACAGTTTTTTAGACTGGTCCTTCATAGTTAATTTGAATAAAAATAAATGTACATGTGAATGAAAATTGGGGAGAAGTGATAATAAAATCAAAATTTTGTGTAGGAATTATTTCATCAGATCTACAAGGGTGCGATGGTAAGAATCACCATTATTTATTTCTCAATAAGAAAGAAAAAGTTCCAGCAAGTAAGCTGATGTATCATTAACTGCTAGATGCATCCTGATTTCAGAAATGTTAGAAAGCAAAAAGGGACTGGGCATGAATAGCTAACACCTGTAATCCTAGCACTCTGAGAGGCTGAGGCGGGTGGATTGCCTGAGCTCAGGAGTTGGAGACCAGCCTGAGCCAGAGTGAGACCTCATCTCTAAAAATAGCCTGGCATTGTGGGGGGTGCCTATAGTCCCAGCTACTTGGGAGGTTGAAAACAAGAACATCACTTGATCCCAAGGGTTTGAGAACCCAAGAGTTTGAGGTAGCTGTGAGCTATGATGCCACACACTCTACGGAGGGCAACAAATTGAGATGGTCAAAAAAAAACCAAAACACAAAATTAAGCCAGGCCTCCTGCCTTGTGCCTGCAGTCCCAGGTATTCAGGAGGCTGAGGTGGGTAGGTCTTTTATCTACTCAGGATGTGTGTGCATGTGAGGGAAAGAATGTTTTTGTTGTGTATATGAACTTAAGCTCATAGTTAACAGAAGACACGTTAACAATAAGTGAGTTTGGAAGGTGTGATTTTGGTTACATTTCATTCTCTTGTCCGACTTTGTGTTTTTCTTTAACAATGAGCTTATATTTTTATAATGGGGATAAAACAATAAAGTTACTTTAAGTTTGAAAAGCTGAATCCAGGCCTAGGTTCAGTGCTCATGCCTGTAATGCCTAGTACATCAGGAGGCGGAGGTAAAATGATTGCTGGACCAGGAGTTTGAGACTAGCCCGAACAACATAGTGAGGGCCTGTCTCTACCAAAAAAAAGTCATCTAAATTGAATTATCTTTTTGATCAATTTTTGTTGAAATAAAATCTCTTATATTTGCAGATGGACACATGTTGGATTCAAAAAGATACGCCATTATTGGAGCAGACCTCCGACATATACCTGACTTGGAAGAGAAACTAAAGAAATGTAACATGACTACACAGTGAGATTTTGTTTTTATCTCTTACCTGTTTGTGATTTCATGCTAATTGTGAGATAAGGCCAATTGGAAGTGCAACATAATAACCATATCCCGTTATTTCTTATGTAAGTTTTATCATTTCATTATTCCTTAGAGTTTATTTCTGAAATGTTTAAGCAGCATTGTTTTTCTAGTCTGTTTCCACATCAGAACCAACTGTGTTACTTACTAAAAACACTGGTACCTAATTTCATGAACAAAGTTTGAGAGCAGATACTATGTATAATAATGTGTATAGGAAAATATAATTACAATATATAAACAAAGAATGTGCATCCAGAATGTTAAAGAAAAACCACTGTAAAGAAAAAAATGGTCCCATAGAAAAATGGTAAAAGGATAGGTGACCAGACAGTTCAAAGAAGTGAATATTACATGAAAAGGGTCTTGATCCTCAGTAGTAATCCAGAGAAATTCTATTTTATTTCCACCAAGTTGGCAAAAATGTAAAAGTTGGGAATATCAAGTATTGGCAAGGATATATGGGGGTTAAGGAATGGTCATATACCCTGATGGAAGTGAAACTGATACAATGATTGTGAAAGTATCCAGGAAAATTGTACATGTGTGTGCTATGTAATATAGCAGTTCTACTTTGGTGTATGTTCCCTTAAGGCAGTGATTCTCAACCTTCCTAATGCCGCAGTGTATTTTCATTGTTAAAAAGGGGTTGTGATCCACAGGTTGAGAACCGCTGCCTTAAGGTCTTAAACTAAGCCCACGTTTTTAGTAGCAGAAAATTATAAACGGCCTATATGTCCATTAGCAGGAGAATGACTGAATAAAATGTAAAATGCATGACCTAGATCAACATGGAGAAATTAAAAACTTAATGTTGAGTTAAAAAAAAAAAAAAACGAAGGTGCAAAGTAATATGTGTACTATGATGCCAGACATATAAAACCAGCTCCCCAAAATACTGTACTATATATTTCATGATTCTACCCATACATTGCAGAAGTATTTAAAGAATGGATTGTAAGGTTCACAGGAAATTCTTGAGAGGGAACATCTGTTGGGAGAAGAGGAGGGCAGTGAGGTACATGGTTTTAGCACAATGATGCTGGTCAAAATCAGATTAGAGTTAAGAGGTTGGAGGAGATAAACACATGTGTACAAGGAGAAGATGACATTTACAACAGTATTTGATATGAGGGGAAGGTATGGTGATGGGAGAGTTATGTATGTATGTATGTTGGAATTCATTCAGGGTACAAAGAATGAGGTTACACTGACTGCATTTGTTACATAAAGTCCTTTTTATAATTGTGTCCTGCCCACAAGAGGTATGCCATATGCCAGGACCCACCCCCTTGCTCATTTTCCTACCTCCACCCCTTGTATTAGCTCATCTACTGCCTTCATATTAGAGTATATTGGATTCTTGCTTCTCCATTCTTGTGATGCTTTACAAAGAAGAATGTGTTCCACCTCCGTTCAGGTTAATACAAAAGATGTGAAGTCTCCATCTTTTTTTTTTTCTTTTTTAGAGACAAAGTCTCATTTTGTTGCCCTCCGTATAGCTCCTTGGTGTCACAGCTCACAGCAACCTCCAGCTCTTGGGTTTAGGTGATTCTCTTGCCTCAGCCTCCTGAGTAGCTGGGACCACAGGCACCCGCCATAACGCCCAGCTGTGTTTTTGTTGCAGTTTAGCTGGGTTGGGTTTGAACCCGCCACCCTCTGTATATGGGGCTGGCATCGTACTCACTGAGCCACAGGCACTGCCTGTCTCCATCTTTTTTAGTGGATAAATAGTATTCCATGGTAGACATGTACCATAGCTGGCTAATCCATTCCTGGGTTGGTGGGCATTTAGGCTGTTTTCACATTTTGGTGGTTGTAAATTGAGCTGTGATAAACTGTCTAGTGCAAATCCTAATGATAAAAGGATTTTTTTCCTTCTAGGTAATTCTAGTAATGGGATTGCAAGATCAAATGGGAGGTCTAATTTGAGTTCTTTGAGTATTCTCCATACTTCCTTCCAGAAAGGTTGTATTAGTTTGCAGTCCCACCGTAGTGTAAGGGTTCCCTTCTCTCCACATCCACACCAGCATCTGCAGCTTTAAGACTTTGTGATGTGGGCTATTCTCACTGGGGTTAGGTGATATCTCAGGGTGGTTTTGATTTGCATTTCTTTTTAGATTAGGGATGGTGAGCATTTTTTCATATGTTTGCTAGCCATTCATCTGTTTTCTTTAGAGATAATTCTATTCATCTCTCTTGCCCAGTGAAATATGAGATTGTTGGGTCTTTTTTTGTTGATTAATTTGAGTTATCTATAGATCCTAAATATCAAGCTTTTGTCTGGTTCTTAATATGCAAATATCTTTTTCCTTTGTGAAGGTTGTTTGCTTTGGTTGTTTCCTTAGCTATGTAGAAGCTTTTTAGTTTAAGTCCCATTTGTTTATTTTTTTTTTGTTGCATTTGCCATGGAAATCTTGATAAAATCTTTCCCCAGATCGATATCTTCAAGTGTTTTCCCCACACTTTCATGGAGGATTTCTTTGTTTCATGCCTTAGATTTAAATCTTTTATCCATTTGAATCTACTTTTGTAAGTGGTGAGAGGTATGGGTCCAGTTTCAGTCTTACATGTTGTTATCCAGTTTTTCCAATGCCATTTATTGAATAGGTAATTTATTTCCCCCAGTGTATGTTCTTGTTTGGTTTATCAAAGATGAGGTGGCTATAGGATGTTAGTTTCATCTTGCGGTTTTCTATTTGGTTCCAAATGTCACTGATCCTATTTTCGTGCTAATACCATGCTGTTTTGATCATTATGACTTTGTAGTATAGCTGAAAGTCTGGTAGTGTGATACCCCATGCTTTGTCTTTATTACTAAGAATTGCCTTGGCTATATGGGGTTTCATCTGGTTCTAGATAAGACAAAGAATTACTTTTTCCAAATTTTGAAAGTATAATGATGGTATTTTAATGGGGATTGTGTTGAGTCTGTAGATTCCTTTGGGTAATACAGAGATTTCATCAACAATGTTGATTCTTCCAGCCATGAGCACAGTATTTTCTTCCATTTTTTAATATCATCTACAATTTTCTTAGGGCTTCACAATTTTCTTTGTAGAGGTCCTTCACCTCTTTTTGTAGGTATATTCCTTGATATTTTGTTATCTTTTTTAAGATACTGTGTAGGGAATTGTGTCCTTGATTAGCTTCTCATCTCGGCTTTTATTGGCGTGTACAAAGGCTACTGATTTGTGGACATTGATTTTATATCCTGAGACATTGCTGTATTTTTTTGATCACTTCTAGGAGTCTTGTGGTTGAGTCTTTGGTGTTTTCTACGTATAAGATCATGTCATTGGCAAAGAGTGAGAGCTTGACCTCCTCTGCCTCTTTGGATGCCCTTTATTTTCTTCTCTTGGTTGTATTGGCTAGAACTTCCAGCACTATGTTGAATAGTAGTGGCAATAGAGGACAACTTTGTCTGGTTCTAGTTCTAAGAGGAGAAGCTTTCAGTTTTACTCCATTCAGTATAATGTTAGCTGTGGGTTTGTTGTAGATGCTTGGATCATATTCAGAAATGTGCCAACTATGCCTAAATTCTTATGTGTTCTAATTAGAAAAGGATGCTGAATTTTTATCAAATGATTTTTTTGCATCTACTGAGAGGATTGTATGGTCTTTGCTATATGTGTTACTTACTAAAAACTCTGGCGCCTAATTTCATGAACAAAGTTCGAGAGAAGATACTGTATAATAATGTGTATAGAAAAATATAATTACAACATATAAACAAAGAATTTGCATCCAGAATATATAAAGAAAAACCACTGTAAAGAAAATAAATGGTCCTGGCTCGGCGCCTGTGGCTCAAGTGGCTAAGGGGCCAGCCACAAACACCTAAGGTGGCTGGTTCAAATCTAGCCTGGGCCCGCCAAACAACAATGACGGCTGCAACCAAAAAATAGCCAGGCATTGTGGCGGACGCCTGTGATCCCAGCTACTTGGGAGGCAGAGGCAGGAGACTTGCTTGAGCCCAGGAGTTGGAGGTTGCTGTGAGCTGTGGTGCCACGGCACTCTACCCAGGGGCACTCTACCCAGGGACACAGCTTGAGGCTCTGTCTCAAAAAAAAAAAAAAAAAAAAAAAAAGAAAACGGTAAAAGGATAGGTGACCAAACAGTTCAAAGAAGTGAATGTTACATGAAAAGGATATAAGTATAAGATCAGGACTGTTTTTCCAAAGACAGAAGGCTTTCAATAACTTCTTAAAGGCTTCCTTCCTTAGCCAGCTTCTTGCACTTGGGCAGGTGCTGATCCACTGGAGTGCTGTAGTCCACTTCCATGAAGTGTGAACATCAGCCCTTTCCAAGCCTCTGTCTGCCATGGTTCCTGCTTGAGCATCCCTGCCTGTCCCCCTGCTTTGGCCACCACTTGTTACCCACACCTTTTATTTTTTTTTGAGACAAAGTATCTCACCGTGTTGCCCTTGGTAAAGTGCATTTGCATCACAGTTCACAGCAGCCTCAAAATCCTGGGCTCAAGTGATCCTCCTGTCTCAGCCTCCCAAGTAGCTGGGACTACAGGCACCCACCCGGCTATTTTTTAGAGATGTGGTCTCATCCTGAGCTCCTCTCAGCCTCCCAGAGTGTTAGGATAACAGGTGTGCACCACTGCGCCCAGCTTTCTTTTCTCCCTCTTTAACTACTTGGGTTAACTTGAAAACTTTATCCTCTAGCTCTGAAGTTCTTTCTCCTCCATAGTCTAACCTATTTTTGATACTTTCTACTGTATCTTTGCATTCTCTGATTGTCTCCTTCATTTCCTTAAGCTCCACTGTATCCTTTCTATATTCTACATATCTCTCATCCAACTTTTGGTTCTATCATTTCATTTTCTCATTTGTTCCTTTTATTGTCTTTATATCCATATTTTAAATTCCCTTTCTGTCAAGTCCATTAATTCTTTATAGGTAGAACCTTCTGCAGTAGCTGCCTCATGG